CCCAAAACCCCAAAACCCCAAAACCCCAAAACCCCATTAGATGTCTATTACTGTTTATTTGGAATTATGAAATAAAGATTATTTGAGATAATTATAGTATGATCAAGATAAATTTGATTTTCCACAAAGAAACTCGCTAATTCTATTGATAGATAGTTGTAACTTCTCACTAGATCAAAATTTAGTCTATTTGAGGTTTCTTGAATTTTCTAAAACTTGCCTTCAAAGTATGTTAGTGATACTTGTTTTCAAAAAGATCAATGCCATCAACTCGCACAGTTGCTATAAAAGAACTTCTTAGCATTGGGAAACTTTAAGTTGATATCACTAATCTCTATTATTTCAAGAATTTCATGTCATTCTAAAACTAAGTGGGTTCAGATTTATCATCCTTCTTTATATAAATATCCATTAATCTTTGAGATGACAATCTCAATTCGAAATATTCATCATCATTTAGAATCTGATTATCTTTATTTTCCAGTCTAAAATAATACCAATGGGTACCATTCATTTAATAGCTTTCTTAAAACTCTTGACTAATACTTAATGATTGAATTTTCTGAGTACAATCATCACCGAAGAATCCATGTTCACATTAACATTTACCAGTATCGAGACACTTTCCATTGCTATTACAGTTGTTCATTGCTCTGCACATCACATGGGAAGTTTCGCATTCACTCTAACTGCTTTTGTGACATACAAGTCTTTTATTTTCAAAGAAGTCTTTTAGCATTTGCTTTGTCATATCAAGTTGTGTAGTTGGAACAAAATGGCCAGATTTAGGAACTGTAAGGAATGTAAATTCAGCATCTTTATCATATCTATAATATCCTCCAACCTAAAATGAACCATTTGTGTCTTTGTAATAGTAAATCTTTCTGCTCTAATTAAAGAAGTTACCTGAAGAATTTTATAGATTTCTCAAGTCTTTCATCCAGGCAATCATTGTGAGGGGACCATCTCTTTAGTCATATTCTCCCGCATAAATAATAAGTTTCATTTTCTTCTCAATGCACTTGTCATAGTAAACACTCCAATCAAGCATCTCCTCAAAATCATAAGATTGAGAGACTCTTCTAGAGGATCTCTCATAAATTGGTGTTTTATAACTTTTTGTAACATGAAGTGCTTAGTATAGGAGATTCTTTTTATTTGATTTCATTAAAAAGTCTTGGATGACATCAATTAATGGTTGCCAATCTGTATCAAAAGCTGAGCCGTCATAAGTGTAGAGACCAGCAGCTTAGGTATCGATATAATCCATAGTTTGACCACAAACCTTCGACCCAAGATCCCATTCTTCAGAAATAGATTCTTCACACTTCTTCCTTAATGCAGCGACTTAGCCCATGTTTGAACGATCAATCACATGCAGACCTTGAGCAACTAAATGGGTGCTGGTCCTCTATCTAATTGGTGAAACAAAAGGATCTCCAATAAAGGTTGCTTATAGATTTATGATTGAAGCATTATTCTTCTTTGTGAGTCTTTCAAGTTCATTATGAAGAGCAATTTTGTAAGTAAAGTGAGGTAAATACTTTCCAGCATATGATTCACCTGATAGATAAATTTCTCTGTTTTTATACTCAGGGTAAGCTTTGAGAAATTTAGTTACAAATTTAACGAAATGCTCAGCTCCAGTCTCCATCCTGTCGATATAGAAATTACCAAAAGAAAATCCTGTGCCAACTGGCTAGTCTATGTATACCAAATCTGCTATATCTAGCCAAGAACCTTTTTCATTAAGTCCAAGGGAAAAATCATCCATTCCTTCACCTGTTCTGGTAACCTTCAAAGGTCCATGCTCTAAGAAGAGACCAAACATGCTTGATGATCCAGGGCCTCCATTCATCCAGAAAACAAGTGGAGGATCAGTTAAACTTGTATTTTTGAAATGCCAGTAAAATAAGTTGTGATCATGAGTGTCTTGTAGGGAGACATTCAAAGTACCTGCATACATACAGGGAAACTCAATAACTTCTTTGTCCCAATATGGCAGATATTGAATTTTGTGGTGATTTTCAAAGCATTTAGGATCCTAGGGATGCTATTATCTGAAATTAGCTTGAAGGTCCTCAATATCTTGATGTATTTCATTTGAATTGAGATCTTTCTTAAGAATTTCTGCATATTTATTGCTCTTAACTGAAAGCAACAGCAATGATAGAGTCAGTGAAATAAGATTTTACATTATTTTTATAATAATATATAGATGTTTAATTAATAATTTAGTTCTATTATATTATTAATCATCTACATATCTAATTTAATTTTATTAAACCACAATATAGGGGTTTTGGGGTTTTGGGG